TATATATTATATACACACACACACACACACATACATATTAGGGCTTGCATAGACTAAGTAGAGTGATCGACTACTTCAACCACTAGTCGGTGCTGTCAGAAACAATCAACTACTCGAGCATGCATTAACCATAATGCATGCACAGAGTTTTGCAAGTACGACGTGAATTTTAGGATTACAATATTGCGTGTAGCTGTTACTTTCTATGACTTTCTCTATGTTGCATGTAAAATTAAAATATGTAATGTAATAATTAGGGGTGTGCCGAAGCCAAACATTTTTTGGAATGGCACGGATAATGGCTTCAAAAACGAATAACGGATAAGGAATAATTCTGCCTGAATATTTGGCTGAGGCTGGCACAGTCTGGTGTTTGCTAGATAACGGAGGAGCCAGGGGATCAGCGCAATATTATACACAGACCTCTAAAGTCACGCAATAATGAGTGTGTGAAGTGAATGAATGTAAACTTTATGAATGAAAAGAGCGCATATCAAACATTGCTGTTGCCTCTCTGTGCATCTCTCATCAGAGCTTGGCAAGAGTAATATCAACTAAAATAATACATCATACACGTTCTATTATTTGTGTATATTTAAAAGGCAATGATTTAACCCTTAGGCTACGATATGATGGAATGAATGGAATAAACACAGCGCGCTCACTAATCAAACAGCCGCGTTGTGCGTCTCAGTCTCTCAAAAACCAAACCAGCTGTCTCAATAGTAGGCTAATAATCATCTAAGATACAGATACATTTTCTACTAGGCCATGTTTACTACTTTATCTTTTGCTGGTTACACGCACATTTGTTTAGTGAAGTTAAAAAAAAGACTCGCTTAAAGAATTCTGCGTAATGAAAATGTGCGCCTTGAATTAATTCAGTCGTGTTCAAATGATCACTAAACGTTTGTCATGACATCTCTCTGCTTGTATGATAAATTCATTTTTAGAAATTAATAATTTTAGTTTAACACAGCATATTTGTTCAGTGATAAAAAAAAGATAGTCATAACGGTCTTATCAAGTAACTGTACGAAGTTCCACCTGGTTTTATCCGAATACAGATACGAATAATTTTGTGATTGTTACAGATGCAAATACTGGCAGTTACATGAAACTTAAAATATGTAATGTCATAATTATAGAGTTTTGACAATTTACGTATGTTATGTAATTGTTGCATTAGGCTATGAATTACTAAACATTTATTGATAAGAACTATTTCATGTCTTTTCATTTACAGCATGAACCACGAGTAGTCAAGTAACTAATATTTTTTAAATAAGAAATCAACTTTTTGTTTAAAGACTTTCTCGTGCAACCCCTAATAAATAAATATATATATATATATATATATATATATACATACACGTGTGTATATTTTAAACTTTAAACTGAGTTAATGATCTTATGTTTGAATACATGTGCTTTGTGTTTGTAGGCCTGCAGTACATATGGGAGTATCGAAGCCCATCTAAGTCGGTTCCTCCCCATTACCAGTGTAAACTGTGTAAAGTTCAGCGGCTGCAGAATGAAATGGCTGCTCACATCACTGGCTGGAAACACGGATTCAGATACATGGTATGATCTTCACAATCAATTTTTTTCTACATAGATATCACAGATTATCTCTGTCCATGCTTCTGATGTAGTACACAGCCTCCTTATGTTGTTTTTTTATTTTTTTTTATTTTTTGGAATACAGAAGCAGAACCACAAAGACAAGGTTCCCCATGAGGAAGAGGCTGCACTTAAAGATCCAGCCATCAGGAAAGCCATTAAAGCTACTGCTACTGAAGTGGAGAAATCTGAGGGAAGAGGTCAAATTAAGGTAAGACAAAATGCTGATGTGCTCTAAAGATCTCACGCTAGGACTTTTTAATTATATGTTCTTGTTTTTTTTGTTTTTTTTGTCTTTCAGACTGTGCTAAAGGAGCCATTTGAGGTTATGGTGTTTCAGGCTATGAGTAAGTCAGTTGTCTTCTGTCATACACCATTCAGTCTACTCCCACTAATGTCAAAACTTGTCATCTCATTAAATATTCTGTTTCACTTGGAAAGACTGTGGTGGCTTCTGCCGCTTCTGTGAGAAATCACTCTCGAAGTCTTGAGGTTTTGATGCCAGAAGATAGACTTTATTATCAGAGACAATGAAGTTGAGAAATTCTTCAGAGATTTCTGTTGTGTCTGTGTCTGCACACTCTTTATATAGTTTTTCCTCAATTCGTGTTCAGTATATTTCATACACAGTCCTTCTACCCCCATCCAATGTACACATTTTACTCTCCTGCAGTCCTCCCTAAACACAGGAAACATCTAATCATAATTGTAGAATAACTTGATTACTTTTCTGCAGGCCTCCTCATACACATGTTCATAGCAGAATAACTTGATTAGGCACAATACACACTTTTGTAGGCCTCCTTACATACAGAAACAACATGATCATAATGGTAGATTACAAACATGGCTATATTCACATTGATTATACTTTTCATTCATATTTTGATTAATAAAAATCTTCTACAAGACATCATCTTATGGAAGCAAAGCTGGTTGCTAAAACCCTACTCTGGTATAACTGCTTTATTGACTGACCCATACTCTTACTTCTCACACACACGTACTGTAAATGTCAAAAGAGTGCATACAATTAGCAAGAAGTCTTTATGTTCAGTCCTCATCTTTGCTAATCATATCCCCTGGTACTAAGTAGATAAATGTTATATTATTAGTGCATATTTATCCAGTCTAGACAGGGTTTCCACGGGTCCTTAAAGTCTTAAATTTAGTTGTATCAAATTTAAGGACATAAAATCTTAAATGGTACAAGAAAGTCTTCATTTTGATTTCAAGAGGTCTTATTTTTGGGGACGGAAAGACAAGATTTGATATGGCTGAATGTGACGATTAAACTTCAAAAGGCTAGGATTTCATTTAAATCGATATGAGCGCTCCAAGTTTCAAAGTCAGGTGCTGCTGCTTTGAGAAACTGCTATATTTCTGCCATTCCAAAAGCTCCACCTGCTGGCAGAGAATGAATTTGCATTCTCAATCAGCCTGTCTGCTGTTTTTGCTCAAACAAATGTGAGAATAATCCCATGTTTTTAAGCTGCAAACACGCAGAGTTGTAAATGTGAACTGGTGTATCTAGTGTACATTAATGAGGAAAAAAAATTAACTTAAATGATTTTAGCAAATGGCTGCAATATAACAAAGAGTGAAAAATTTAAGGGGGTCTGAATACTTTCCGTACCCACTGTATATGTTATTTAATATGGTAATTAATTTAAAACTTTTTTTGTTTTTATGAAAACCTGTATCTGAACTGTAAATCATGCTTTTTACAGTTTAGTATGTTACCATAGGCATTGTGCTTATATGGTATTAATTTTATTTGTGCAGGTCTTAAAATAGGTTTTAAAAAGTCTTAAATTTGAGCTTAAAAATCTGCAGATTCCCTGCTAGACTGCTAAATCAAAAGCAAACTGGCTCCAGCTGGTATTTGTTCCCATTCCTCCCCATCTGCATTCCACGGCTGTTTAGTGACCCTGACCTTCAAGTTCCTGAAGCAACTCAAAAGTTTCAAGCTTGTCTCAGACCTTCTGCATATATCAGAAATTTTGCTAATACCTGTTCTCGGTGGCTTTATCATAAACATTTCCAACAAAATTTCTACAATTAAAAGCCGAACACTGGTTTTAAACAATACTCCAAATTCACACACACATTTGACAACTGAAAATGTGAATTATTAAAACATCTTTTGGATGTTTGTGTCCATAGAGGACTTGTAGTCAAGCAGCAAATCAGTGTTCAAGCACGGAATTTAATTTGTAGTAATAAACAGATATTACAACAGTTATTTAATTTCTTGTTTGTATCTACCCAGGTTTTTGCTCATTGTCTAATTTAGGAAGATATAACATCTGTTCTGACCTCTTCTAGCACAATCTCAGTATCACTTCCCTCCTAGCATCCTATCAACTGGGAAGTTTAGTTATTTCTGAACATATAGGGTATGTTTCAGACAAGTTTGTACAATATTTGCTTTTTCGTGCATTTCATATTTCCTGCATCTTTTCTGCAAAGATATTTAACAAGTCATTTGTTTTACGTTTACACCATGTTGAGCACTTCATGTGTGCTGCACTTGATATAGAACTTTAACTAAAACATGATTCAAATTATTAACCATCTAGTTACATTAAGTTGACTAATTAAATGTAAAAAATACTGAATCAGTCGATGGTTCTGAAAAAAAAAATCGCCATATCGCTCAGCCCTAAGCAGCAAGATACTTACCTGATGTTTGTTTTTGTTTTTTTAGAGTCTGCACAACCCAATCCAGCATTTGCAGGAGCTGCTGGTCTTCTTGGGCCTTCTCCAAGAGGGTTAAAACCAGGTTAGTGTCTAACCAATGTATGTGATTGTGTTAATAGAAGTGAATTGTCTAACTTTGATTTGGAATGTCGAGTATAGTTGCTTGACTTTTTTTCTTCACATCCTCAGGTGGTCCATATGGAGGTCCAGTGTACATGGGGGATTTCCCACCCCGGGGTGGCATGATGACCGATTTCCCCCCTGGCAGGCGTGGGGGTATGGATGAACCCCCCATGAGGAGAGGTTATTCTGATATGGGAGACTTCACTAGCCCAGGTCGCTATGGTAACGGCATGCCTGGACCAGACAGGGGGATGATGGAAACAGATGACATGCAGCATTTCCCTGATGATGGACCCATGCGCATGGGCCCAGATGGCTTTGGGCCTGGTCAGCGTAATGAGGGCAGGGGCAGACCTTTCCCTAATGACATGCCGATGAACAGCAGCGGCGACAGATTGATGGGACATGGCCCTAAAGGCCCGGAGAACAATAGCCTCCCGGCAACACTGCTCAAATACCTGGTACTATTCTCTTTTAGATGTTCAGTGCTTGTGGAAGCACTTCATGCATTTACATTATCAGCCATTTGGGGTTATTAAAATGTGTGTGTTTCTGATTTATTATTAGGACTCTTTCCGTATTGAAAACGAGGACGATGCTCAGATTGTCTTAAAGGTCACACAGAAGCTCACAGATGTTCTGATGGAGTATCGCCTCAGAAGCATTTCATCGGTGAAGGCTCTCATTTATGCTCTACATTTATTGTTATCATTTTATTATTGTTATTATTGATCCAAATGCATTTCTTAATCATTTTCAGTAGCTCAAATCAAGTTCAAGTTTATTTAAATACAATTAATTCTTAATGCAACACAATCCTGGTCACTATATGAAAATAAGTGACTGCAGAATATCAGTTGTTCCAGAAAGCTGTGTTATTAAAAACAGATGACTAACCTGTAGTTATGTGTAAGATTCATTAAAAGACAAAACTATTTAGTCAGTACTTCTAGTGTCCAAATTTAAAACTATTTTAGCTTCAGGTTTGGGTGATTTTTCTGAAGTACATTTGTGTTTTGTGTAAACCGTAAGGAGTCAAGGAAACTGGTTGCAGATTTGTTTTCTGCAAACATGTCTTAACACAGGATGTGGTTACTGTTTAATATGCTTGATTTCCTTTTTAAATTATGAGGTTTTCATTGAAGGCTTAAGTGATCTCAAACCAATTTCACTGGGTTACTTCTAAAAAATAAGGTTGTATAAATATCTATAATCTTTCTGAAAATTAGTGGCAAAAGAACACGCTGTATAGAATGAATAACAAGATCAAGCTACCTGTCATGTTTAGCAGTATGTCCAAATTATTGAAAGAAACTTTTTTTTTTTTCTTCTTCTTTTTTTAACAGCCATGTTTTCGTTTTGAATTTGAATTGTTTTTCAGGTGCCCAGTGTGAAGCCTCTGCCCTCCATGAATTACTCATCCTCGCGTCTTCCACACAACTCAAATGACAGATTCTCCAGCGGCATGCCAGGTATTGCACACTTTTCTTTTTTTGTGTCAGACTCTACTATTGCTAGTTTTGAGTCGGAGTTCCAAATAAAATAAGTACCTCTCATTTGTAAAGTTAAAGTATTTGCCTTTGCTGGAACACCAAAAATAGGCATTATTACATGTTATATAAAATATAAAACATTTTTTGTGTGGAATTTCCATTATCATGACCATTACTGTAATATAAAATGACTCATATCCTCATAGTTTGGTTATGCCACCCACCCCTGACTTAGAATCTTTGCATATCTAACTGCCATTTGGAACATTTGGTATCGCCTTTATTATATCTGGGCAACACAGATGTTTCCATGGGTTCCATGGGTAAATTATTTGGCATAATGCATAAAGTTCGTTTTCACACAGACTGCTCTACCTTGACAGGTCCATCAAGATTCTACAACTGAACATTGATCTGATGGATGAGGCCAAGACTTGGATGCAACCTGCTTTGCCTGTTTTTGACATGGCTTTTTTGACTTTGTTCCTGACCAAACTTTTTTTTTTTCTTGACTTTTAGGCTGCTTTGTTTTTACAGTGTATACATGAGTAGAATTATTTTAAATGTTTAATTTTTTTCTTTCTCTTTTGATGAAAGAAACAGGTTTGTAGCAACACAGTTTTAGTGAGTGATTAAACCGTCTTTAAGTGAAGTCCGTAAGATCCTCAAACAATGTGACTGCTTGTTTCTAAAGGTCTGTTGCCATGTGTAAAATAAATTCATAGTTCCTTACAGAACCTGGTTTCTTTTGTATGATTTGTGGGTAAAGTTTCTATATCCTTCAGATGTCCTTGCTTCAATCAGGTTGTCCCATAGTTTGAATACAGCATCTCCATCAGTTTTAGCACCTGCATTGTCTTATAAAGCTCACTGTTCTCCAGTACAATTTAGGCTCTTCATTGGCTCTCCAATGACCTTCTTATATCCGTAGCTTGCTTACACTTGGAGATGAGGTAGGCACAGGGATATTGATCAAAAGAAGCATGCTCAATATTTTATTTTACTTGGGGTTCTACTTGAATACTCCGTGTAGGCAACTCCCAACAACTTGTCCACATGATGTAGTGCAGTACCACCTGCACAAATGACCAATGACCGTATTGCAGCGTTATTCTGCCTCGGTCTTGACCGTTCTCAGTATAGCTTTATTCATTACAAGGAATGGTGTGCTGCAGTTGATTATACAGATTTCATAAACAGTTCTTGATATGTATCTTGGAAGCAAACTTCTTATTTTTTCCCGACAGAAAAATTTGAGACTGAAATTGAATTGAGATTGCAAGTCACATTTCTATTAAGTTAAATTACAATATAACATCAAATATACATGTCAAATGAAAAACAAATTGATCTGGTCACGAAGACATCAGAAACAACTCAAAATGGTCGTTTTAGTTTTTTACAAACAGGAATGCATATGCAGATGCCAAATCAAAACACTGAATCAATTAGACAGTAAAAAAAAAAAAGACCAGTTTGTAACTTATTCCTTCTGTTAAACTTAAAATATATACAGTTAAACTGAAATAACTAAATATTAATATGCAAGACAAGACATGTGATATGTTTTTAATTGAAGCCAGTAAGCTGCATGTTCAGCAGCTACATCCAAGGAAAAATTTGCAAAATAATGTAATTCAGATTGCATTATAAATGTGAAAGTAAACGGGTATTATTTATCCACATGTAGCAGACCTTAATGCACTAGTCAACATTTGATGGGATCAAAACATTTCATCAAAGTTGTCCTAAAACCAAAACAATATCCGTTCTCGTCTTAGGACAACTTTGATCCACTTCAAATGTTGACTACTGTAGTTCAGCAACCATTGTACTGTACGTGTGTCTTTTTTTTATTTTTTAGGTACACTCCTTCCATGTGGTACTCAAAATCCTTACAGGGCATCTTCAATTGTTGTACCTATAATAATCGCTTGAGCACATTGCTTGAAAACGTTTTTATATATATATAGCTCACAGAGCTAATGGTAAAGCTTACGCTGGATCTTCAAATGATTTGGTTGTCCTCCTTTACATTTTACACCGGGAGTTAACACTACTGCTGGTGTTTCAAGGTGCTGAGAACATTTCACTTCTCCAGATGTTCACCATGTACCAAGTATCTTCTCTCTCTGTTGACGTGTGATACAAGCGAGTAGAATTTTTGCTCCCATGAAATACTTCCCATGGAGACTCTGGGCCTGTTTGGCGATTTCCTCACATTCGAACTGCACGATGGCTTCACCGACACCATTGCCCTGGCTGTCCACAAGCAATACGATTACATCTTCACAGACATTAAAGCGCATGAAAAAGTCTCTCACCTCTTCTTTCCTGACATCTGCAGGAAAATTGCGAGCATATACACATGACATGGCTAAATGTGTATTTCCATAAGGTGGTGGCCTCCAGACTTTAGCACATCTGTTTCTGCTGAGTATAGCAAACATTTCTTCTTTAGTAATGGGTGACACTTCAATGTTCTTTAAGCCAACAGTTGTGCCATTCATGTTCAGAGCTGAGGCACATTCTTCTGCATGCTCAAAGGTAATAAACGCAGTGCTTGTCCTCTCTCCCCACTTATTCAATAAATGTTTTATTCTGTAGTTTGGGATTGCATGACAGCCAAAAATCTCCTTGATCTCCGTCTTGGTTATATTCTTTGAAAGATTATTGACAATAACATAAAGTTCTGTTTGAGGAGATGGAAAGTTTCTGCAGTATTTTTTTGGAAATCCAGGTGGGGGTGACTCCTCTGCACTTCTTTTGGTTGAGAAACCTCTAATTGCATTTCTTTCGGTGTTAACTTCCCTTTGCGCTGAGAAAGTGTGAGGTTTGATGTTTTGCATGCAATTTTTGGACTGCTCCACAGCATCTGTCCACATCTTCTCATGGGCAAGTCTGACCTCAACATTGTATTCTTTGAATTTTCTGTGGCTGTATTTCAGCCCCTCCTCAGCATCTGCGAAACTGGTCAGCTTCACCAGACAACACCAACCCAGTTGCAGTCGAACTTTTGTGATGACCTCCAACACTGGGAGTCCCAGTAGGAACTGGTAGATCTCTTCTTTGGGAACAGAATCAGGAAATCCATAAAGCCGAAGGTAGCCTGGCTTACAGGAATTAAGGATTTCTCCTCTGCTTTTCTGCTCCTTAGGTGCCATGTCATGAGTTAGACTATGCTGAGCATCCGTAATTGTTTGGTTGTCAGTTGAGGACCATTTATCCGTTTCTGGAACATTTTGGTTGAAATTTTCAGGCACTTGGCATTGATCCACTTTTTCATTTGAATGCAGTCCTTGAATGGCAGTCATTAGACTAAGCAAAAGAGCTCTGTTGGTGTCAGGTGGGGATGATGGCACTGTTTTAGTCTCCACAGCTGTGGACTTTGATTTCTTTAATCTCGACTCCATTTTTCTCTTGAGTTCAGCCAGACTGCTAATATGTAATGAAACAGAAGAGCCTCTGAGGAGTTTTCCAGAGTAGCGCATGGCTAGTTGGCCTTCTCTCTCCGATTTAAAAATAATGAAAGCTTCACCTATCTTGCCACCGGTGATATGAACACCACCCTCAGGTATGTGCAAGCCATGGAAAAATCTTCGGATGTCTTCAGATCCTGCCTCTTTGTTTAAACCTTGCAAAAGCAGAACCACTATTGTCATGGTTAGATTCTTCTTACAAACCAATGGGATCTGTTAAAAAGGCAAAAAGCAAACTTTTGAGACCAGTTTCTAAAATCTAAGTGGAACATTAAAAAAAAAAAATCCACTGTAGAAACTACTGTTTTCTCCTCTTTGTTTAAAACTTTCAGAGGACAAAAATCACCTCAGGAAATCCACTTCTAGTTAAACAATCGAAAAGAATGCGTCCTCGGAGCCTTACTTACCGTTCGTTTTTCTCTGAAACTAATACCTCACTCTAAACAATTCTCCCCACACTACTTTTTTGTCAGGGAAACCACGCGGTAACCTGCAAACAGCACAGCTCGCGCGTCCGGCGGGGAACACTCAACTTCCTCTTGCAGAGACTTTTAAGCCCTCTGCACGCCCTCTGAGCGTTAACTAGTGATAGAAATTTTGATTCTTTCAAGAGATTCGTTCATTTTCAGCCGGCTGACCAGGTACACTCTCATTCATTTCGTTCACGAACGAGATATGTACCAGTTCAGTCATTTCATTCCATTCACGAGCGAGATGTAGCAGTTCATTCAACTCGTTCACGAACGACATGTACCAGTTAGGTCATTTCGTTCATGAACGAGAAGATCTCTCTATCTCGTTCAGACCTGTTTTTTTACAGTCTATGGTTCAGACTCAAAAGAAACTCGTTCAGTGAAGTATTCGTTCAAAAAGAACGATTCGTTCACGAACGAAACATCACTAACGTGAACAGGAACTGGTACGTCATCACGCGTCATCTGCACCATGGCGACGGGGACGCTGAGAACATTTGTGTGCAGTTTCTCCATCATATTCCTGTTCAAACTAAACGGTTTTTTCTGCCAGCAGTTCTCTGTATCTTTTCAGCAGCCTTCGGATTGTGGTGTGGACAGTTATTTTGATATTTCGAGCTTGTCTTGTGTGAAATGTGGGCCGAATCAAGTCAGCAGCAAATCAGGTACGCTTAGCACAGATTAGTTTGCTTTGTTTTGACCAACCTAACCTGTAGATGATAGACGTTGTACACTAAACAGCAGTCATTTGCTGATATATATAGTCATATTTATTGCTAATTTAACCTAGAGTGAGTATCTTCAGAGTGAATTAACTGCTTCCGCGCTAATAAAATTCTGCCTTTGCAGCTGCACATAGCACCATAGTAAACAAATAAATGTTTAAAATGGATGTAATTATAAACACGGAACTTTTATAATACACTTAATTGTAAACCAGCTTGTATGTTTATGTGTATTTCTGTCATATAGGACTGGCATGTGAGTGCCAGACTGGTTTCAGGGTGCTGGTCAGCAATGGGGCGTCCATCACGTGCCAGCAGTGTCCTGATGCTAATCAGGTTTTGTATTAAATTTAAATGACTAATTTAAGATCTTGTATTATTAATAATTAAGAATACTAATACTTTCATACATTTATATGATTACTCTCATTCATAGGGGGTCACCCAGGATGGCTATGGCTGTATCCCTTGTTCTGGAAGTGTAGGGGAGAATGGCAAGTGTCAGTGTCCTAAGGGAAGTGTGCTGGGTAAGTGCTTTTCATTTCAGTCGTATATAAATAAATATGATTCAAACGTAGGCAGTTGTTTTCTCCGAAATAAGCACTCAAATTGTTTGTGCACTCACAGAATTGTTTATGATTTTATGGCATGTCTGTATTGGGCAGTGGAGAGAGATGGGAATGGGAATCCATTAAATGAATCACGATGTGAAGCATGTAATGCAACAGAGCCCGCTTTTTCTGCCCCAGATAGAACAGGCAACAGGTAACTCTGCTGTTTCTATCAATGCCACTGGATTTTCATGTTGATCTTCACGTCGCATAAAGTGATTCATTTTATTTGGACATGTGTATTCTTAGGTGTGTAAGATGCGAGGACTCCTTCATCAACTCATCTCAGGCTTGTGTTTGCGGTACTTCAAACATACAGGTGAGAATCTCAGACATTTACATTGGCGGGCAAATGTTTATTCCAAACTTTTGACTGGTAGTGTATGCATATGTTTATGTGATGCATTGATAGTGATGATTGCGTTGCTCTGTTTACAGGCAGGTGGGAT